TGTAGGCAAAATACTCTTTACATGAAATATGTATTTGCCTTGTTATGTTAAAAGTGGTTAAGATTATCTTAAACTAGTTTACAGGTTTTTGTGAAAATGTACATGATTGTTGTAAAATAACCTGCTAGCAACTGTAATGAGACCCAGAATGTTCAATGAGACCATCTTTTATATTGTAAGTATGCCATAATCTATCTAAAAACACTAAAGCTGGATGTGTGGGCAGCTGGTCATCCCTCTGTATGGCTTTAGCACAAGATCATAGAGGTACTTGAGTGGGTCTGTCTGTCAGAAGTGTAGCCAATACTGTGGGTTTTTTCTCTCTAATGACTGGCTCAAAGCTACTATTTAATACTGAGTTATGATGCGAACTGTATCCTTCAAGCTAAGAATATCCCTCACATTTAGGTGGGCCTCATGGCTTTGCTGGAAAGTCACTTGATGAAGTTTTCTGGAAACCCCTCAAAAACACACTAATTAAAGTGAAACAAGAAAAAACAAAATGAACTAATATACAAAATGCCAAGCTCATATGGTCATGCAGAAACTGAAGAAACAGGCCAACCATAAAACAAAAACAAAGAACATTAAACAGAATTAGATGGACACATTTGGAAAAATCAGATAATTGCAAAACAGACACTGGCACCAACACTACTTCTAGATATATCTCACCATTGGAAAAATCGGGAAAATTAAATAACCCATTTACCTAGAATTACATTGACTTACAGTCTACAAAGACTACACTTTAATGCCAGTGGCTTCTGGGCAACTTCACAAGCTTAAATTACTTTGACCAACTGCAGGCATAGCTCAGCATTGACCCTCATCCATTGAGGCATTTTATTGAACATGATCTGTAATTGACGTGTGTTGTAACAAGATATAAATATCCTTCTAACCAGTAGCTAGTTAAAACACAGTTGAAGTGTGGGACTCCCTCCCTCACACTTTTGGTACCTTCAGGACCTCAATTACTGTTGCATTAATAGTGAAATCGTGGCAACTGAGCCTGAGAAACCCTGCTGTCCTATCTGGAGCCATAATGAATGAACCATTATATCTTGTAGCATCAGCTGATATTTTATGCTTCTGTCAAGCCTTGGAGGCTATCATGGATGCTAGAAGTTGTCTCTGGGCAGACTCCACATATAGAAATAATATTATTACTAGATCCTTTCTCTGCTCCAGTGTACAGTTTGATGTGACAACTTCAATCCACTTTGCCACCTAAATTTTAATCATGAGACATGAGACGTCTCTAAGATCCATATGGTGCCACACGGTTTCTCTCAGCAGCTTTTCAATGAGTTTTTCAATAAACATCTATCGTAAAAAAACACTAGGAGAAAATGGAATGCATTCTTATGTAACCTTTTAAGTCATCTGTATAGACAGCCAAATTTTGTAGGGTCATCATCTTTGAGTTCTACAGAGCTTCATCTGTAATCCAACTTATTGACAATTATGTACCATTAATTTAATTTGCTCTTTGTTCAGGTTCTCTATGGTATCAATCACCAAGCCATAAAAGGTTGTACTGTTTATCCCAGAATCCATCCACTTTAACCAACAACTTGCTTAAAACTTGAAGAAATGGTCAAATCCATCTTAATCACTTCCTTGAATAATGTTGGGCTCACCTGTTACACATAAATAACTGAAGCTACCTGCTTCTCTATTGCTGTATGGCTGAGATAGTGTCAACATTCAATATATCTGCCTCATCTTTCTTCAAATGTTCAAAGATTCATTTATTCTGATAAATGTTAAGTACTGAGTAGATTGATGTCATTCATGGGATATGCACCACTGCTGCATTTTACTGGTGAGCTTCAGTTTCAGAGCATGGCCAAATGTGCCTTGCCAGCAGTGAGATGCAGTTTTCACTGTATGATGGCATCACTTGAATTTACAGTTAACTTTATTCGCCACTATCTTAAACATAGGTAAGTCAAATGAATACCTTAGATGAAATAATGCTTTTGCTACTATGTACTCCTGCATGCAAAAAATAACCAAGAAAGGTCTGATTTAAGCACACTGAATTTCTCCTGGCCACCTAACAACCTCTGTGAATCGAGAACAGATTTAAAATATAGACATAGCTCTCATCAGACTAGGCAAGCAAGAGAATACCTCTCTAGTCCTTTCTGTATTCTCATATAGTGTCCCACCTTAACCACAACTTCTTCCTTTCTAATGTAAGTTTTATGTAGCCACAGAACTTGCTCTTCCATAATGATCATGTTTTACAAATATTAGAACATCAGATATTCAAATGAATAAAGAAAAAGCTCTAAATAAACTCAGCAATAAACAAATATTTTGGTCATGACATCATAAAGTAACTTCATAGTTTAGTCTGTGGTGTTCAGATGCACTGATTTTAAACAACTAATTCTTATTAAGTTTCCATAATACAAAAGCTTCTGGAACTGTCTTGCAGATAATTATATTAACATAGAAAATAAAGAATAAACAATCAAATATAAGTGTAGAAGTAACACAAAAATATTTTTTGTCACAATAAAAAAATAAGTCTTTCCTACACTGGCCATTCTCTAAGTTCATTTTTTGGTGTAAGTAGCTGCTGGGGCAAGAATTAAGGCAAGCAGATATAAGCCTTCTGAAACATTTTGACATGTAGATATTGTCTAAGGTGGCTGGATTAACTCAGGTTTATGACCTTCCCAAATAATTACGCGAAATTTTTGGGGAAGAATTACCAAAAGGTACATTCAAATCAAATTAGATGTTCTGAGCCTAGAAACTTTCACATTTTATTTTAACCAAAGTAAACATTTTCCATTATGCTGTTACGACAGCGGAGGTCACGTGACGCTAGTAACACGTCATGAACTTCTAGAAAAAATATGTCCCTTCGTGAAGCCTCGAGCGTTTACTATATTTTAGGTATTCTTGTATATATAAGCCGCCAAGAAGTGACGGCAACAATGG